GGGGAGTGGTTGTGATGTCTTTGTTGTGTGATCTGCGGAACGAAGGCCCGTCCAACGAAATGAAGACAAGGAGGGAGGGAGGAAGGAGTAGCTGGGGAATGCCACGCGCGTAGCCTCGATCTGCTCGGACAGAGAGAGGCGACACTGATGGCATGGCATGCTGCCCTTATCCTTCCGGCCTTCATTCCTCTTCCATCTTTCTACCCATTCGCCTCACATCGATCACTCTTCACTCACTCACACACACACACGTGTAGCCACCTGTTAGCCAGCCACTCAGCCGTCTTCCCAAGGCCGCTTTGGAGGGGCCGAATCACTCACGCAGCCAGAGGTTGTCGGTAGCATTATTGTTGCATCATTGTGTAGGTAGCCTTCCTTGTGTGTGGTGTACAGCGGCAGCTCAGCTTATTTGATCATGGGCTGGGGTGGGTCGCGTGTTCATGTGTATGTATGTGTGTGTGTGTGTGTGTGCGGAGGGGGGGTGGGGGCTCACTTAGCCAACGGACCGACACACACATAATGCACTCTGTCTGTCTGCGCGCGTGTCACGTCCATTCGGTGTGTCCAGATGGATCAATGAATCGAGAGACAGACTAAACCACCATACATGCACGGACACCCGCGTACAATGCACATCAATGCTCGCATTGATTCCATCCAGCCGTCCATCCGTCCCGTCATTTGTTCTCCTTCTCCGTGTTGGTGTCTTGCGTGGCGTACTTGGTGAGCGCCCAGAGGGAGTCGGGGTCGATGTGCTTCCTGTACGCCATGATCTCGCCCACCCTCGCCTCCGCAGGCAGGGGCGAATCGGCACCCAAATCTTTCTCTGTCGCCTGAACCACACACACACAGACAAAGAGAGAGAGAGAGAGAGAGGTGTCCGTGGTGGCGGTGGCGGGTGGGGTGTTGGCTGACGCACCTTGTTGCAGAACCACTCTTTTTGCTGGCAGATGGGGCAGGTGACGGGGTCGGTGCAGGGCTTGCCGTCCTTGGCCTTGGGCATCGACCGGCCCTTGTCATACAGCTCGGACACCCCACAGCGCTGCGCCGTCTGCACACCCAAACCAACACAAGGAAAGAGACAGACAAACATGACCCATTAATGCATTTGTCGTGTCTCATGTCTCATGTCTCGTGCCGACTAAACCCACTTCGCATCGGTTCATGAAGTCCTTCTTCCAGGCATTGGTGCCGAGCTTCCCCTGCTCGCTCGAGTAAAAGAGCGACCGATCCATCTCAAACTCAGACCCTGGCGCAAGGACCAAGTTGCAGACCCTGGCGCAGTCTGCCGCACCGAACTTCCTCACAGGCCTCAATGGCCACAGGGGGACCATCTCGGGCGCCTTGACGCAGATGCGGTCCTCCAGCTTGGCCTCGTCCCTGGCCTTGCGGAAGCACACACAGCACTGGGGGTAGGCCGCCAGCCCGAACATGGCCTGCAGCGGGGCCTTCCTCTCCTGGGGCACCGCGGCCCACCGCTCCACCCTGATGTCGCGTGTCTCGAACATGTTCGCCGTCACGTGCCTCTCCCCCTCCTCAAGGATGGGCGGTGGGCGGACTTCTTGCTTCTGTTTCTCGGCAGCAGGGGTAGGGGCTGCTGGGATGACCTTCTTTGCTGCGGGTGCGGGTGTGGCGGCGGCGTGTACTTTGGGTTTGGGTACGTCCGAGACGGCCTTGGGGCAGGTGGCGGCAAGGACGCTGCTGAGCCGACCGGCCAGCAGCTGGTCGACCGACTCCACCCAGGTGATGTGCTGAGACTCCAGAAAGCTGGAGACCAGACGTAGAGCAACACAGAAAGGCAGTGAATGGGAGTCTGGTTGGTTTACTGCTTGTGGTCACCTGGCGTATTCGCGCAGGTCGCTCAGGTCGACTCGTGTGCCGGTGGCGACGAAGAAGATCTCCCCTTTGCGGCCGCCCTGCAGGTCGTACTTGAAGTAGTTGGCCATCTCGTACGCTTCCTCCAAACTGACACACACATACACGCATCCGCACATCCACGAGCCACGCAAGGGCCGCATCCTTCTCATGGTCGGTCGACTTCACTCACTCTTCCTCTTCGCCGTCGATGAGAATGACGACAACATTGTCGGCGTCCACGCGGGCCTTGTCGGCCATCATTGCTGCCGACAGCAGCGGCTGCCACACTGAGGTGTCTGCAGGGTGGTGCAGGTTCTTGGCACCAAGCACCGCCTGCTGCACTGCCTTGGCGTCGGCTGTGAGGTCAGACAAGATGACGGGAGCCCTGTTCTCGTCATAGTACACCAGCGCACCTGAGAGACACGGCCCGCAAAACCGCAAAAAGCTGGCTTGTGTGTGTGTCGGTGTCGGCTGCGTGTGGTGCATTCTCACCAACGAGCGACAAGAGGTCCTTGTGGGTGTCGATGCGGCCGATGAGTTGGCTGACGAAGCTCCTGAGCATGCCAAAGTCCGTTTCGCCGACCGACGAGGGTATGGCGAAGATGAAGTTCTTCCGATCGCGGCACTTGAGGGCCAGGGGGCAAGGGTGCGTATTGCACTCCGAGAAGGTTAGCCGGTACTCGGAATCCTTGCTGGGACACTTGCCTGCAGCCATCCATTCATTCGATGGTTGGTTTGGTTTGTGGGGGTCCTTGTGTCTGCCTCTCTGCGCACCTTTGCCTGTGGCTGGTTCGGCGACTCCCCGATATCGGAATCGGACGCCCCCGCCGCACACACGGGTGCACTCGCCCTAGGCAGGCAGACAGACACACACACGCACAGAAGGGGAGTGTGGGAGTTTCATGGTCACTCTCCGGCGCTCACCCAATCTGTCCAGTCCTTGAGCACACAGTCCTTGTCTGGAGTGACGGGCGGTGCAGGTGCAGGTGTTGGTGTTGGTGGTGGGCATGGCTGTATCTTGCACCTATGCACCTCCCCACGCTCCGTGGGGCACTTTCTGCCGCCGTTCTTGGGCTCCACCTTGATCCCACGGGTGCGGACCTGGATGCCTGAATCCATTGCAGGCAAACAGGCAGACAAGCAGGGGAAAGCTAAGCGGCCGCAAATGGTATTCTTGTACCGTTGGAGCATGGTTCCGGGTTTGCCACGTTCGGATTGTGGCACTTGCCCCATTCGGACCAGTCAATCGACACGACCCTTTGCCGCCTCCTCCTTCTTTCTCATTTCCTCCTCTGCTTTCCTTTTTAGAGCTTCCGCCGCTTCGGCTCGTTCTATGTCACCGGGCGCCTCCCCGAGACACCAGCCCTTCCACACACAAACAGAGAGGGAGGCGGCTGCAGTGGATGGATTGCGCATGTCTCTCGTGTGCCACGCATTGTGGCCGGCCGACCTTCCAACTCGCCTTGGGCCCACGGGCGCATTTGCCCTTGTCTTTGGGGAGCGTTGCCCGCGGCTGGCAGCTCCGCTCGACCTTCTCTCCCTCCTCAAACACGCAACAGCAATCCGGGAAGGCAATGCCCTCCTCCTCGCACTCCTTGTCAGACTTGCACATGGCGCCGGTCGTGTTGGCCGCCCACTGGAAGAGCCGGGCGCTCCCTTGGCCCGCCAAGGCCAGACAGATGGCTAAGCTCAAGAAGGACTGCATTGAGGTGTCCGTCCTGAACGGGAGCCTCATTGCAAAACGCATGTGGTGCTTTTCTCTGTGTTGCGTACCAAGAAGAGCGACCTTGCTGCTGTCCTAAAGGTCCAGCCGAGGGCGAGACGCCAACCGGCAGACGCCCCCACAGGCGAGCCTGAGGCCCCCGGGCCCACCACCCATTCCCCGCAACGCTCCCTCAACTGGCAGCTCTTTTCGTTGTTTGTCAACGCAGTGTTTGTTGTTGATCGGTTCTGTGTCCCTTTGTCTGTTCCCTTGTCGCCCCCTCCGTGACAGCCACTCAGACCCACACCCACAATGCGAGAGGTGATATCCCTTCACGTCGGTCAGGCGGGTATGCAGGTGGGCAACGCCTGCTGGGAGCTCTTCTGTCTGGAGCACGGCATCCAGCCCGACGGCATGATGCCCACCGATAAGACCATCGGGGGCGGGGACGATGCCTTCACAACATTCTTCTCGGAAACCGGGTGAGGGTGAGGGAGAGAGGGAGAGTGGGGGGGCATAAAGAGAAAGAGCAAAACACAAATGGGGTGTTTGTGTTTCCTCGTGTTCAGGTCCGGCAAGCACGTTCCTCGCTGCGTGATGGTTGACCTGGAGCCCACTGTGTGTGACGAGGTGCGCACCGGTGCCTACCGACTGCTGTTCCACCCCGAGCAGATCATTTCTGGCAAGGAGGACGCCGCCAACAACTTCGCCAGAGGGCACTACACCATCGGCAAGGTCAGGAGGGAGGGGGGGAGAGGGGAGAGAGGAGGGGGAGAGGGGGGGAGAGACCGGAAGACGTTGTCTACTGTTGTGTGCGGCAGGAGATGATTGACTTGGTGCTCGATCGTGTGCGCAAGCTGGCTGACAACTGCACCGGACTGCAAGGGTGAGGCATGTTCATCACGCTCTCCAACCATTCACGTCGGCTGCCCTCTTCGCTGTGTGCAGTTTCCTGATGTTCAACGCGGTGGGTGGCGGCACTGGTTCCGGCCTGGGCTGTCTGCTGCTGGAGCGTCTGTCGGTCGACTACGGCAAGAAGTCCAAGCTCAACTTCTGCTGCTGGCCGTCTCCACAGATCTCCACCGCCGTGGTGGAGCCCTACAACAGCGTGCTGTCCACCCACTCGCTCCTCGAGCATACCGACGTGGCCTGCATGCTCGACAACGAGGCCATCTACGACATCTGCCGCCGCAACCTCGACATTGAACGGCCCACATACACCAACCTCAATCGACTCATCGCGCAGATAATCTCCTCCCTCACGGCCTCCCTGCGCTTCGACGGCGCCCTGAACGTCGATGTGACGGAGTTCCAGACCAACCTGGTGCCGTACCCCCGCATCCACTTCATGCTGTCGTCCTACGCGCCCATCATATCTGCCGAGAAGGCGTACCACGAGCAGCTGAGCGTGGGGCAGATAACGGCGAGCGTCTTCGAGCCGGGCAACATGATGGCCAAGTGCGACCCGAGACACGGCAAGTACATGGCCTGCTGCCTCATGTACCGGTATGTATGTGTCTATGCAGGCAGGCACGCACATCATTCAGAGAGAAGCCATACGCCACCCACACACTGTCTTTGATGTGTCAGTGGTGATGTGGTGCCCAAGGACGTGAATGCGGCCGTTGCGACGATGAAGACCAAGCGCTCCATCCAGTTCGTCGACTGGTGCCCCACCGGCTTCAAGTGCGGCATCAACTACCAGCCGCCCACAGTCGTCCCGGGCGGGGACCTCGCAAAAGTCAGTCAGACACACAATGTCTGGATGGACTGACTGGTCTAAGAGTCTCTCCTTCTGTGTGTGTGTGTACATCTGTGTGTGCGTGTGGGTCAGGTGATGCGAGCGTGTTGCATGATAGCCAACTCGACTGCCATCGGCGAGGTCTTCTCGCGAATGGACCACAAGTTCGACCTCATGTACGCCAAACGCGCCTTCGTCCACTGGTCGGTCAGCCCACCTCACCACACATCCTCTCACAACCGACAGCCACCTGTGTGTCTCCTCGCCCTATCTATCACACGTATGCACTCAGGTATGTGGGCGAGGGTATGGAGGAGGGTGAGTTCTCTGAGGCGCGGGAGGACCTGGCGGCCCTCGAGAAGGACTACGAGGAGGTCGGCATCGAGACCACCGCAGGAGAGGAAGAAGAGGAGCTCGAGGGCGACGAATGAATGAATGGATGAGCGAAGGCGAAGGCGAAGGCCAGATCGTGAATGCCGGCATGGATGAATGCACGGTGTGTTCCCCTCCCTTCCTTCCCTTGCTCGAGAGAGTTTTGGTTGATCAATCAACGCACCCATTCCATCCAGATGTCCGTCTTTTTCCTTTGGCTGCCGCGAGTGAGTGAGTGTCTATCTGTCTGTCTGTCTGTTGAGTGAAGTGAAGGCGAGACCACTGGCGAGTTGAAGTGAGTACTGCAAGTACAGGAACCGAACCGACACCGTGCAGATGAATAAAACCGTCTGGACTGGCCTATATGACTGAAAGCTGGCCAACACACGGCCAAGTTTCAAGCTCGCTGTCTAGCTCGCATCTCCCCCGGACAACACCTCTCATCTCAGGGCCGCATCTTACTGGCCTGGAGGCCCACCCAGCCCACCTCCACCTAAATCTTACCCTTAACCACCACCTCCACCCGATCTATACATCCATCTGCCTGTGGTCTGCACAATGAAGCGGTGGCTCATTTGGTACAGCCTCACGTGCCTCTGCATGGCCAGCACCTCGCTCGGCTTCGCCCCCTCCAGCCCTCTGCAGTCCCTCGCCATCCGGTCGCGTGCGAGGCGGCAACCTCTGTGTGAGATGAAGATCCTCACGAATCAGTACCTGCCGCAGGACATCACTCTGTCGGTGAATGGGAAGCCCATGACGGTCAGGGAGATCTTCAAGGAGAGGACCGGCATCATATTCGCCGTCCCAGGTTAGTGAGAACAGCAGAGATGGACTCGATGTGAGCGAGCGGATCTCATTTTGTGCTGTGTGTGTGTGTTGTGTGTGTTGTGTTCCTCTGCTGTGCCATTTATCAGGTGCATTCACGCCAACGTGCACCGACAAGCATCTCCCAGGTGAGCTCTGCGGACATGGACGCCCAGTGAATGAGGCTTGTGAGTCACTGTGTGTGTGTGCCTGTCGTGTGCGCTCCCACGTGCAGGTTTCCTGGACACGACCAACCTCAAGAAGATCATGCAAAAGGTCGACTTCGTGGGCTGCCTGGCCGTCAATGACCCCTTCGTTCTCAAAGGTAGTGGGCCGCCGCCCTTCTGTATGTATGCATGTATGTATGTATCTTTGTGTTCTGCCCGTCATGTGTATCTGTTTGTGCAGCATGGGCCAGGCAGACGGGTGCGATTGACAAGATCGTCTTCATCTCTGACGGCAATGGGGAGCTCACGAGGGTGAGAAAGGGGAGAGAGAGAGAAAGAGCCAGTCAGCCGCATGATATATGCATGTGCGTTGCTTGGTCGGTGCCTGCAGGCAATAGGCATGGAGAAGGACTGCACGGGCGGCTTCATGGGCATCCGATCCGACAGGTACACAACGTCCAATCCACGCACACAGGCCGACAACCCAACCGGCGCTTGATTGATTGATTCCCTCAGGTACGCGATGTTCGTCGCCAAGGGTGGCCGCGTGCAGTGGTTGGGTGAGGGTGAGGACGCCTTTGCCGAGGAGGTGGTGGCGGCCCTGCAGCGGCTGTGGATGGTCTTCACACACGCATCACGATTCAACTCTGAGTACCACGAAGAAGGCGTGCCAGAATGAGCAGCCGCCCACAACCGCAGCTGATCGTATGTGTGCACTACCCTGTGCCAATACGCACATACGAGTGATTTTTCCCGGGATGGATTGCAGGGTGTGTGGGGGGTTGGGGTGGATGTCGTCTGAATAATGGGATGTCAGACAGCATGAATGACCGGCTCGACTGTGGGGTACTCTTGTGTGTAGTGACTGCATCTCTTTTTCACCAATTGCCTGTTTGCCTGCCTGTCGGACTGACTGAATGCATCTATTGCTGACGCGTCTTCCTACCTCTCCTCGTACTTACATGGGCGGGCGGGCGGGTGGGCGGGCGGGTGGATGGATGGATGTGTCGACTTATTTCGCTGCTAACGATCACGAATAAAGCACTTCTCGCGAGCAATGCGTGCAGGGAGATGACAAAGATCTGGCACCCCTCCTTGCAGCCAAGCTCGCACCTTGGTTGTTCCCCCGCTCGTTTCCGCTGCATTTTTGATGAAGGCGGGGCCGCATCGATAGGTACGAGGAGAAACATGGAGTTCTGCAAGCAGATCCACCCATCGACTCGCATGCGCATGACTGATCTGTCTGCATCCGTCTGTCTGTCAGGTTTTTTGCTGCAGGTGTCGTTGTGCAGCCGGCTTCTTTAGTCGGACCTCACCACACCACGCGCAGCGTCCTTTATTCTTAGGTTTTGCCTTTATCCTTTATCGGTCTGTGAGCGGGAGCGGGAGTGGAGTGGATGCTACATCATGCAAGCAATGGGAGGGCCGAGGTGAGGCCAACCGTGGGCACAACACACAGAGAAAGGACACATACAGCTGGCCACTGGTGGCTGCTCTGGTGTGGTGTCTGTCTGTCTGCAGTGTCTTTATCTTCTCTCTGTTGGTCGTCATGTTTCCACTGCTCTCGGGCGCCGTGGCGCCTGTTGCGCTCACGATGCCCTTCGCCCCTGTCTGTGGCCCTGCTGAAGGCGCTCGGCTCAGATGACTGGAAGTGTGGACGCATGTGTCTGGATGTGATGGACGGATGGATTGGATGCCGTGGACCGTGTGCTGATGGAGAGGATGCAGCCCTGGATGAATGGATGGATGGATGGAGCTGATGCTGATGGATGACAGGCTGAAGGATGGTAGCCGTGTGTAGGCAGGCAGGACGACAAGCCGTAGATGGGCACAGGGGAGGCAGCCAGGGAAGATAGAGGGCTGCTGATGAATAAGAGCGCTAGATAAGCCTGCAGTGCATGCATGCGTGGGCCTGGGGGCGTAAGACGGGAGATAGCAGAAGTTGGCCAAACGAGTTAGTGCCCGTTGCGTTTCATGATTCGTTATCGTTCGCTTCCGATATGACTTGAGTCATTCTCTTGAGATCTGTTGCTTCGGCACGATCCTTTGGTCCTTCCGACCACATTCCCTTCGGCAGGG